CCCCCCCCCCCCCCCCCACGAACTCCCACTAGCCCACATCCCTCTGCATCCATGTTTCAGTCGTCCGCCTCGACCGTAGCCCTGGCTATTGCCATGGCCATGGCTATTGTCCTCGCCATGGCGCCTGCTCTAGCAGCTGCTGACCGTGGCTACCCGTTTGGCTCTGAGACGACCGGCCTCCCGCCGTCGGTCAAGATCCTGACCTGGCCGCTGGCGGTAGACGATCTGCCGCTGGCCAACGCATCTGCGCCGTGGGCAGACAATCCGCGGGCATGGTGGGCGCCCGAGCTGGCCGATGTGCTGAGTGAAGACGATGCGGAGTTTGCTCATCATCCGCTTTGCGCGCCCTGGCCCGGAGGCGCACGACCCGACGCTGCCGCCATTGCTACCAAGCTCTCCGATCTCGTCCTCGCCCTGGCAGAGCCAATCATCGTCCGCGGGCACCCGCTTATGGAGGCCGATTGGTCAGCGCCGCGCGAGTGGAGTCCTGAGACCATCGCCCGCCTCATTCCGGAGCTGCCGCAGGTTTACGACAAGGCGGACTCGTCCGTCTTCCTCTACCGCAACGGCGACAAGCCGCTGCTCGGCTCGCCGCACTGGCGTACCTCGATCGCCACTGTGCAAAACTTTCTCTTTCCCGCCGCCGAGCTGGTGGCCCAGATGCGCGCCGAAGAGGCCGGCAGCCCGCTTCCGGGCGCGCCGCACCGCTTCTTCTCCGGCCCGCTCCAGCTTGACCCGGACGTGGCCTTTGCCGGCGGCTCGCTCGACTCGGCCACCGTCACCTATGTCAAGGGCCTTATTGACGCCATTACCCCATACTATGACGTCCTCGGCTCGGCACCGGTCTCGCCGGGCCTTTGCGAGGGCGACCGCGAGATCTCGGCTAACCTCTGGATGGGCACCGCCAACGTGACCTCGCACGGCCACTACGACGGCTCAACCAACATCTACGCCCAGATGTACGGCCGCAAGACCTTTTACCTTGCTCCGCCCACCGCCGACTTTCCACTCTTCCCGCGCCTTCACGAGTCGTATCGCTCCATCTCCGACGAGGAGCTGCCGGCCTCGGCCTTTACCTTCCGCGCCCCGCTCGAACCGGGCGATCTGCTCCTCATGCCGGCGTACTGGTTCCACCACGTCGTCGCCGACACTCCGTCAATCTCGGTCAACTTTTGGTGCAACTCATGGGCCATGCAGCTGATGTGGATCTCCCGCCGATTACCACTCCCGCTCGAGATGGAGTGGCTCGATTCGGTCGAGGCCCGCGTCGTTCTTGCCTCGCTCTACTCGGCCATTCACGCCGGCCTCTACACCGGTGACCCTGCATCCGCTGCCTCGCTCCTTGCCTCGCTCTACCCCTCCCGCTACGCCGCGCTTTTTGACTCTTCGCCCAAGCACGCCGGCGTCAAGCGCGTGTGCAGCGAGGCTTCATCAACAACCGCCGCCATGCTCGCCGCCCCGGGGATCGAGCGGCTCATCGAGCTCGCCGTCCTCCCCACAGACCTCGACGCGCGCCACGAGCTAGAGTCTCTCTTTGCCGCCTGGGTCGACGCCGCGCTGGCGCCGCTTGGTCTCACCCGCCCGCGAGACCTCACCTACGCCAAGTGGCACCCGCGCCTCATCCAGACTGCCGCTATCGCTCGCCACATCCTCCACGGCCCGCGCACAACCGCCGGCCGTGCTCACGAGATCTTTTACTATCCTGACCCGGAAACGTCGGAAATCGAGTACCTGGCCAAAGACGACATCCTCCGCGCGCTGCCGCCCGCGTCTGCCGCCTCGCCGGCTGCTCGCGCCATCGCCGACCGTGACGTCCTCAACTCGATCGAGGAGATTGCCTACGCCATCGTCGTCCCCGACGCCGACCCGCACGTCCTCGGCCGCACCGTGCCCTCGGTCTTTTCCCTTTGCTTTGTCGACGGAAGCAGACCAAACCAATAACAGCCACATCCCTTTGTCGCCATCGCTGCCTACCGTCCGCCTTCCGCCCGTGGCACATACTTCCACCACACCGTCCCTCTGCCCACACAGCCCATCGTCACCACCTTACTACATGTGGAGCGCCAGTCAGACTGCCATTCACACTCTCCGGACCTCCCGCCCTTCTCTTATCATCCTCACCCGCACACTGTACGCACCCCCACCCCCATCCCCACCCCCATCCCCGGCCCCTGCCTGCCTTGGGTCAGGTCGGGACAGGTCGCGAGCGAATGACATGCTGCCACGGCCCCTCCTCCTCCTCCTCCCACTGCCACACTATCACCAGCTCCACTCATCTCCTGTTTACACGTAGGATGTCTGCCTCTGCCGCTGAGTTCTTTGGAAGCCTGCCCGTGGCGTCGACCAAGCCGCTGCCAGGGACCGAGGCCGAGGCTGGGTCGGGAGCTGTTCGTGTGGAGACGGACTCGCTGGGAGAGGTCAAAGTGCCGTCGTGGGCATACTGGGGCGCACAGACTCAGCGGTCGCTGGGCAACTTTGACATCGATCTTCCGCGCCATGCCATGCCGTTTGAGCTTGTTCAGGGCCTGGCATTTGTGAAGAAGGCTGCCGCGAGGGTTCACGCCCGCCACGGCAGGCTGAGCGAGGAGGTGGGCAAGGCCATCGAGGCTGCTGCTGACGAGATCATCGATGGCACGCTCGCCGACCACTTTCCGCTGGCCATCTTCCAGACGGGCTCTGGCACTCAGTCGAACATGAACGTCAACGAGGTCATCTCCAATCGCGCCATCGAGATCCTCGGCGGCGAGCGCGGCTCCAAGACGCCGGTCCACCCCAACGACCACGTCAACAAGGCGCAGTCGTCCAACGACTCGTTCCCCACCGCCATGCACGTTGCTGCCGCCCGCGCCCTCGACGCAAAGCTCCTGCCGGCTCTCGAGAAGCTAGCTGCCGAGCTCGAGGCCAAGGCCGAGGCCTGGAGCAACATTGTCAAGATCGGGCGGACCCACACCATGGATGCCACGCCTCTGACACTGGGGCAGGAGTTTTCGGGCTACGCCGTCCAGGTCCGCAACGCGATTGCCCGAGTCACCGTCGCCATGCACCCGCGGCTGATGTACCTGGCGCAGGGCGGGACGGCGGTCGGAACCGGGCTCAACACCACCGAGGGCTTTGACGTCGAAGTTGCTGCCGAGATTGCCGAGCTCACGGGGCTCCCGTTCCAGACCGCGCCGAACAAGTTCGAGGCTCTTGCCGCCCACGACGCCATGGTTGAGGTCTCGGGTGCGCTCAACACGCTTGCCGTCTCGGCCATGAAGATCGGCAACGACATCTCGGTTCCTTGGCTCGGGCCCGCGGTGCGGCATGCCGAGCTCGTC